ATTCTTTTTTAAACCTTGACACAACAGATCCCTTCCATGTAAAATGCTTCTCCACGCATAGGAAGGCCTTGCACCAAGAGAAGCATTTAAAAAATCAGACTGAGGAAAGTACCTACTCTTCATGATTTGTGCAAACAGACAGTCCGGGTACTATAAGATCCTCCATGCTTGCTTAGCCAACAGAGCTTGATTGAAAGTTTGTATATTTCTAAAACCAAGACCACCAAGAGCCTTTGGAAGGCAAAGCTTTTCCCAACTGAGCCAATGAATCTTATTATGATGTTCTGCATTACTCCACCAGAAGGAAGCCAAGGCACTAGAGAGGTTGTCACAAGATGTCTTGGGGAGTTTGAAGCAAGACATCACAAAAACTGGCATTGCCATAGCCACAGACTTCATTAGCACCTCTTTACCACCTTGAGAAAGAAATCTAGAGTACCAAGCAGAAAGCTTCACTTTGACTCTATCCTTCAAATAACTTAGGAGCTCAACCTTAGAGCCACTGAAGCATTCCGGCATACCTAAGTAGGCACCTGCTCCACCTTCATTAACAATACCCAGACAAGACTGAATAGAAGCCTTGACACTCTGATCAACCCTAGACCCAAAGGTAATGGAGGACTTGGTAAGGTTGATAGATTGACATGTAGCTTCCCCATATCTATTCAAAGTTTCTTGAAGGTAAAGACACTGATCCAAAGAAGCTTTACACATAAAGAGACTATCATCTGCAAACAAGAGATGATGGACCTCCGGACCCTCTTCATTGTAGCGAATACCTTGAATCTTACCTTCAGACTAACCTTTATTAAGAAGATGGGTAAGGCCTTCAGTGCACAACACAAAAAGAAAGGGAGAGAGAGGATCTCATTGCCTGATTCCCCTTTGAGGAGTAATAAGCCCAAAAGCTTGATCATTGATCAGAACCGAAAAAGTCACAGTGGAAACACACAACATTACCCAATCTACCCATTTGAGATGAAAACCCATGGCCAACAACAAGGATCTCAGATAACTCCATTCTAGTCTGTCATAAGCTTTTGACATGTCAGTCTTCACTGCTAAGAAGTTGGAAGAGATTTCCGGATGGGAATTCAAACAATGGACAGCTTCATGAGCCACCATGATGTTGTCTGTAATCAACCTTTCAGACACAAATGCCGACTGATTCACAGAAACAATAAGAGGGAGGATAGGCTGGAGACGCTTGACCAAAATATTGGAGATTATCTTGTAAAGCACAGAGCAAAGACTAATCGACCTTAAATCAGTCATATCAATGGGGTGATGTGTCTTGGGCAACAAGCACAAATAAGTATAATTCCATTCTCCAGGTAAAAGACCAAGTTCAAAGAAATCTTGAACCTCTTTAGTGACTTGTTTGCCCACAATCTTCCAGTATTGTTGAAAAAACAGTGCAGTCATGCCATCTGGGCCAAGAGCACTAGACGCTTTGATAGAGAAAACCGCCTGTCTCACCTCCTCAGCAATCACCTTTTCAATCAAACTTTCATTCATCTCCGCAGAAACAGAAGGAGGGAAACCAGAGAACCACTCCTGGAAGCTTTGGGGGTTAGAGGATTTAAACAAAGAGTTGAAATAATCAGTGGCAACTTCTCCTTTAGCCGCTTCTAATCGTTGAAAGGTACCATTTCTGTCTCTTAGTTTCTCAATTCTCTTTCTAGCTCTGTTGCCTTTAACAGCCCCATGAAAAAACTTAGAGTTACGGTTTTTGTCTACTTTTTTGCCTCCAATACACTTCCTCACTCCTATAAGCTTTAGCTAGCTCCCTTTTTAAAATGTGCACCTGATGTAAGTTTGGCCAGCTTTCAGAGTGAACTTTTTCAAGAGCCTCCTCACATCTATGGATTCTGTCCAAAGCATTCATGTTATTCTTCTTTTTCCAAGAACTAAGAGCCCTTCTACAATCTCTTAACCTTTGAGAAACCAAAAAACCAGCAGCTAAGCAACCCGGCTTCCAAGCTCTAGCAATAGCTTCTTTAACATCAGCTTTATGAAGGAACCTCCTGTCAAATCGAAACTGTCCTTTATAAGAGTCATGAGATTCCACCAAGCTGACCAACACCGGCCTGTGATCAGAACCCCTCATGTCTTGAAATGCCTGATTGGAAGCAGGGAAGTGAGAGAACCAGTCCTTGTTGCCAAAAGCTCTATCCAATCTGCATTGTATCCAGTGATCTCCTCTTCTTCCAGACCAAATGAACAAATTTCCACTACTAGGCAACTCCACCATATCACAAACCTCTAACATCTCAGAGAAAGGTTTGAAAAAACTATCACTTCTTCTAGGACCTCAAATCTTTTCACCATTATTCAAAAGGGCATTGAAATCCCCAACCATACACCATCTATCTCTTCTACCAACTCCCAATCTAGCCAGTCTTTCCCAAACCCCACTCCTGAGACTGCAATCCGGATCTCCATACACACAAGAGAGGAAAAAGTTTGAAGACCCAAACTGAACCTGAACATCAATCAAATTCTTGTCCTCAAATAAAATATCCAACTAAACACTACTCTTCCATAACAAAGCCAACCCACCACACTTACCAACCGGATCAACTGTACAAATGTTATCATACCCGAGAAGACACTGCAAATCCACCAATCTATCTCTACACTGCATGGTTTCCATTAGAAACAAAATCTCAGGGAAGTGTTTTTTACGCAACTCCTTGAGACGCGGAATCACCAAGTCTTGAGACCGTCCCAAGCCTTGGCAGTTCCAGCTAATGATGCTCATTAAACATGGGGCGATCCCTCATTTGGGATCACCAAAGAAGGGTTAAGCTTTGTAGATTTGGCAGTGCTTTTACCTCCAAATTCTGCTTTTCTTTTCTCTTTCACACCAGTAGATAAGCCTTCATTAAAATCATTGGCAACGACCAGAGAACTATTACCTTTTGGCTTCAGCTTTCTTACACTTTTTGAAGGTCTTTTCCTCTGTTTTGTCTGTTTTGAGGTAGTGCCGGAAGACCCAGCTTCAAAGAAACCAGGCCTATAAACCGTCGCACTATCTTGAGTGGTCTGAGACAAAGCAAGGAAAGAGCCTGTATCTTCTAGAATCTTGGAGGAATCTGCTTCCATTAACCAATTTCTCTCAGAATTGAAATTCACCTTAGAGGCCAACCGCTGAATACTAAGTGCAGAACTCTCTTTGGGCATAGAGTCAAGATCAGGGTCAACGTAATCAAAGACTAGACCTTTTTCTTTGTTCACCTGCAGTTGAACAACCGGAGGCGACTCCAATTGCAGGACCATCTTTTTGGCGATAGGATCCTTTTCCATCTCACTAACAGACTTCCTCACTCTGTCTGCTTTAATCTGCCAATCTTCATTAGTATTGACAACCAAGTATTGACGCATTCCTTCCAAAACATCAGCCGCAATACGATGTCTCCCAGTTAAAGGATCTATACCCACCTGGTCTTCCCTCAAGATGCCAAAGAGAGGATCAGATTCTTTAAGGAAGGCAGCTCTTGGAGCTTTAGGAATAGGAGTACCAGATCTTCTAACAGCAGCAAGATCTTCTCTTCTCTTGATCAAGATAGGACATAAGTCTTTTTTATGAGTCAGCCTTTGACATTCATAGCAACGTTTCTGAACTCGTTCATACTGGAATCTCACAGTAGTAGTACCACCTTGGGGAAGGTTAACCACTTTAGAACGCCGTAGCGGCCTTGAGACATCAAATAGAACCTTAACACGGACAAACTCCAAGTAATGAGGTTTGTCAGGATCAAAAGCAACAACTTTAACTTCTCCAATCAGTTCACCAAGCACTGTGATAGCAGGGACCGTATAGAAATTAATAGGCATATTCCAAATTTGAACCCATAGCTGAATGATCTGCAGATAATTCGGAGGCGGTATCTCATACCACCTATCCACAGCAAGCGACCAATCATTGTATGTATGCGACCCTCTGTCAAGGACCTCCTGCAGATCGTGTTCATTAAAGAAAATGAACTGAAACCTTTCACTCGATAAAGCAACACCTCACATCCTTCCGGGCTTTTGCCATTTTCGTGGCATATCTCTTATGAGGTTCTTCATAGACTGACAACTCGGGTTGAGCGTGCGACCCACCAAACTCAAAGCATTTCTCTCCATCGACATGAACTCAGGGAGATTCGGCATATCAAAGGGTATCTCTTCTTCCTCTTCAAGAGACATAGCCATGAGGGCTTTATCCATGGCAGAAGACATCACGAAGTAAGAACTTTTGAGACGAAAAACCAAACACAAGCCACCAGAACAAGACACAGGATCTGGAGACCAGAAGAAACAAACGGAAGAAACTGAGCAAAACCGAATAGATCGATGATACTGAGTCACAGATCCAGAACCAGAAGAACACAAGAACACAAACACCACAAAGCTTTGACGAACAGAGCTAAAAGATGTAAAACAAGGGATAAACGAATAAATTCGGCGGAATGAAATTGTTATTCCAGTCAAATGTTCTCTTCTTAACCTAAGCAAAGACTCTAGGTAAGAAAGAAGGTCTTAAGCCCAAAAGAGGGGAACTTTTTTTTCGTCAGTTTGATCCTAACCATTATATTTAGTAATAATAAATTAATTTAAGAAATACAATAAATTGTGTAATAACAAATATATGCGGGACATTATATGTTAAATGGGAAATTATGAAAAATAACATTTTTTGAAAAAGTGTATAATCATGTTTTAGGAGATAATTGCGGAATTACGTTTTACAAAATTTTGGCAATAATATTGATAATGGTGAATATTTAGCAATTTTTTGGTGATTGATAGTTTGACATTACTAAATTTTTGTAATAAAATTTATTATTTATATATAGAAACATAAATTAGTTTATTTAGAAAAAAAAAATGTAAATAACACTATTCACTAGCTAAACATATTCTCGATATCTTTTCTAAAAAAGCTTTGGATACTGTTGTCATACAATAATAAAATTTTAATTAAATTATTTTTTTTTAATTTTATTTTAAAAATAAAACCCGTCCATAGGAAGGTCTTAATCTAGTAATCATATAAAACATGGATAATAAGCAACATAATACATTCTTTGTTCGACCCCTCCTAGCGATGTTATTTTATTCATATCATAATTGGCTACGGGAGCCCAAACTTTATTTTGTTTTATGCACATTCTTATTGTACCGTTGGAACTTTTTTTTTTTTTTCTCATAACTGTTATCATATATTATACAACCTCAAAGTACAAGGTTCACTGTTACAAAAGTGGAAGCTTCCACAAACACACGATACAAGACTTGCTTAAGCATACAACATCAGATTATCGAATGGATATGATAATCAACCCAAGTCTATAAAAACAACTAAAGATTTCACTTCTCTATGAAATTCTGGAAATGATCTACCAAAAAGAGTTCCAAGGATCATTTCCCCTTATTCATCAGTTTGCTGCTTGCATCAAAGCACAGAACCTAACAGCAATTTCAAAAAACTGACTGACAGAATTATTAGAGTGTTAAGACTTATCTTTTCTTTGGAAGTTTCAGAATCCCTCCATCATTAGGCTCATGAAACTTCTTGTGATTACTGCTACCATTTTCTGTTTTACCATCTCCATAGGATTTGCGCTTAGGAGATTCATTCAATCCTATCCTCTTAGAAGATTCTCCCTCTTCATTTTTCTTAGAAGATTCCCCAACTTCAAAGTGTCTTGAGGCTCTTGAAAGAAATCCCTGATTTGCTAGAGGACTGTTGGAAGCAGTTGAACCTTGGTGAGCTCTAGAAGCATATTGAGGAATTGGTACTGCAATGGAATGATGAAAGTAAGGAATAGCAGCCGCAAGCTCATCAGCATTCATAGGAGGTTTATCCACTCTTGGAGGAGGAGAAACAGGAGGAGGAAATGACATATCCAAATTTTGGGATTGAGAATTCATGTCTGATCTATGGATGTTATCTCTCCAAGCAACTCTTTCCTGTCCCGAACCTGAATCCGTACCACCATCAATCCTTACACCTTGTAAAGGTTGACGATAAGGACAGAAAAACCTGTGATGAGTGATCCTTAAGCAGTTACTACAAATTCGTCTCAGGCGCTCATATTGAAAACGTATTAAGGCAGTTTCTCCTTCCTCAAAACGTATTCTTTGAAAAAAACTAATCCTGTCTGAGATACCAATCCTAATTCTGACCATTATGTAAGCTATCTGAGAAGTAGTAGCTTCTTGAAAATCAACCAGAATTATTTCCCCTAGTCTTTCAGCTATCAAAGTAATAGTTCCAGTACAAATATACTGAAGGGGAATACCTCTGATTTGCACACATAAGTCTATTGTAGTCAGAAAATCAGCAGTAGGTCTATCCACCCATCTCTGTGAAGCCACTAACCAATTATTAAAAACCAACGGAGCTCTTCTTTGTACTGAGTTAAGGTCAGCCTCAGATTGAAAGAGAAATTGCACAAAAGTCCCATCCAAGACCCTTCCATGCACTCTGGACGCAAGACCCCAAGTTCTTGGTAAAGAAGCAACCACCGTAAATAGGTTTTGAGCTCTTGGATTCAGGGGC